AAGCAGTAGGAGGGATCTGTTTCAGACATCTCAACAGCAACACAGGAAGCCGGAAGACAATGAAACAATAACTTCACAATTCTGAGAGAAATCATTCCCAACCTAGAATTTTATATCCAGCAATGTAATGTGACTATAGATAATAAATTTTCAGACATTGAAGTCTCAAAATATTTATATCCCATGCATCATAACAAGAAGAAACTAAAAAATGCCCTACATCAAATTGAGGGAATAAACCACAAGATTCAGAGTATGGGATCAGGACACTGGATTGTGGTAAATTCTGCCCTTGCAGTCTCATATGATTGATTGTACTAAGGAGTATATTCCTCCCTGGTATTCATTTTATGTTGTTGTTGTTAGGTGCCATTGAGTCAGCTGTGACTCATATCGACGCTAGTCGTGCTCCATCCTCACAATTCTTGCTGTACTTGAGTCCATCATTGCAGCCACTGTGTCGATCCACATTAACAACTTAATGTTACCAGAGGATGTTCAGTTGATAAAATACATATTGTGATAGTTAAAGGAGCTCTGGTGGCACAGTTCCTAAGGCATTTGACTGCTAATCAGAAGGCTGGTGGCTCAAACCCACCAACCACTCCTTGGAAGGAAGGTTGGGCAATCTACTTTCATAGTGATACCACCTCAGAAACCAAGGAGGGGTCACTGTGAGTCAAAATCAACTTGACAGCAGTGAGTTTGTTTTTTTTTGGTTTTGTGGTAGTTAAGGTTGTATGTCAACTTGGCTGGGCCTAGTTGAGTGGCTGAGCAGCTGGATGTAGTTATTCTCCATAGTGAGACTGGTAATTAACTCCATGACAGAATCTACTAGAACAGCTGAATAGCTGCTTTAGGGATATAGGCTGCTTCCAGTATATAAGAAGTAACTTTGAGGAAGATTTCCAGCTTTTTGGCACACTTGAAACCTGCATGTAGCCAAGTCGTTGTTCAGCAGCCTGCCATACTCTGCCAATATTGGGACTTTTTCTGGACTTGAATTTGTTAATTCTGTGTGGTTTGGTAACATCAAACCTGTGTGGTTTGGTAATTCTGGTTCTTTATTACTTGTTGACCTTGGGCTTGTCAGCCTCAGTAACCAGAAGCTGCCTGAGTGAAGAAAAGCCTCCAGCTTCAGTGGGCTGGGAGCAAAAGGCAAAGCTAAAGCCCAAGGTCAGGGGGCTTTCACCCAGCCCCTAGAACCTAGCACTTTGAACTCAGACTTCTAGCTTCCCAAACTGTAGGAGAATAAACTCCTGTTTGTTCAATCATCCCATTTGTGGTATATTCTGTTAGAGCGGCACTAGGTAACCAAAAAGATATTTACTCCATTTAATCTCTAAGGCTCTGCTCAGTGCCACCTCTTTCATGATCTTTGATCCTCCTAGCAAAAATAAACTTGTTCTTTTTGAAATCTCACAGTTTTCTCTGTCACAACATTTATTTTGCTCTCTATCAATAATTATTATAACTAAATATTAACAGAACATCTTAAAAGAGAGTGAGAGAGGAAGATGCATTTGAGGTCCTGAGAGGGGACATTCTTCTTGGAGAATGGAGTGTAAGTAGGGTGGTAGTGCTAGGTAAGGCTGGAGTATTGAACAGAGCCTAGAAGATGGAGATCTAGTGTGGTCATCATAAGGCTTATGACCTTTATTCCAGGCATGGGAAAGTTTTGAAAGTTTCTGTTTGTTTTTACTGGAAGGAGTAATTTGTGCATATCTGTATTTAAAAAAGGTCAATGTGGATACCAAGAGGAGACAAGAGTAGACTGGGACAAGGGTAGAGCTAGTGACCAAAGAAGATGTAGTCATTCAGGTGAGAAATGGTGGTAGCTTTGACAAAATAGAGGCGGTCATGATGGAAAATATTTAGTATTCCTGCTAGAGACATGTAATTGTTCTAGTCACCTGTGATCACATACATTCCAGAAACTTTGAGGCCATTCTTAACCCATCCTCTTCTTCATCTTCTTTTCTATTGTGTACAGATCAAATTTATTCATTTCTTTCCATCACGGTATGGCAAAGAAAGAACAGATCAAAAGAATGGAAGGAAAGAGTTGCTTTATCCAAGGAATTTTTAGAAATCTTGGGAACTGTTCAGTAGGGAGCTTGATGGTACAGTGTTAAAGTGCTCAGCTGCTAACCTAAAGGTTGAGGTTCAAACTCACCAGCTGTCCCAAGGGAGAAAGATGTGGCAGGCTCCTTCTGTAAAGGTTTAAAGCCTTGGATACCTTATGGAGCAATTCTACTTAGTACTATAACTTAGGGTTGCTCTGAGTCAGAATCAACTCAGTGGTCTGGGTTTTTTGGTTTGGTTTAAATGTCTAGTCAGTCTAGACCACAAGGAATGGAAGACTAACTGGCATTAAATTGTATAACCTATAGCTATATTTTTACTGAAACCTGTCTAATATCAAGGAATCAGATGTGTGCCCATTGAGTAGTTATTTATTTATAGATATTAAAGTTTTATTACAACCAAATAAACTAGTATGCCCAGTTAATAACTATTATTCATAACCTCATTAATCAAGCAAGAATCATAAACCCAAATTCTTTACAAGATGAGAAGCTAACATAATACTCATAATAATTCTCATTATTCACAGTACTTATGTTTTATAAAGTTGTTGTGAACAACAAATTATCAAATACTAAACCATTGCTCCCTGGAGAAATATAGAGTTAAGTTCTTACGAGTATCTGGTCCCCACATTTCCTTCAACTGATCAATACCTGACCTTGTTTTATGTGTGTTTCTGTTTAAGACATCGTCTTTATTATATATTGTTGATTTTCTGATGTTAACCTGACAGCCAACAGCACTACAACTCATTCTTGAACAAAGCTCATTTAACACATGTGTTTTCTCCATAAGACACATCACAGCATTCTTGTGTCTCAGAACACTAGACAGCCCTTCAGTACTATGCTTGGGGACCATTTTAAATGGCAAAATCACTAATAAAAAAAGCATAGGAATGGGGAAAACATAGCATTAAATAGACCATGAGAAGGACACTTGTTTACAGTATGAAAGCTGAAACAAGAAGGCAGATATCACCTTGTTTGACCTCAGCTGGGACATTCAGTGCCATAACACCACCGGAGGGTCAGACTGACCTGCATCTGCCTGGCTGTCCTCTGGGTTGGAGGGCTGGGTGATTCCGTGCTTAGGGAGTCTATTTGTTGTTGTTAGCTATAGTGGAGTCAGATCCAACCCATGTTGACCCCATGCACAATAGAATAAACACAGCCCTGTTCTGAGCCATCTTCATGATCACTGGTGTGCTCAAGTATGTTGTTGCAGCAGCTGTGCATTTTGAGAGTCTTCCCAACTAAAGGCTCATCTTCCAGCACTATACTGGACAATATTATCTAGTGACACATAGAGTTTTCATTGACTGAGTTTTGAAAGTCAGTTGCCGAGCTTTTCTTTCTAGTCTGTCATAGTCTGGAAGCTCTGCTAAAACCTGTCCACCATGAGTAACCATGCTCATACTTGAAATAATGTTGGCATAACTTCCAGCATGATGAAAACATGCAAGCCATGTACAAAAAACTGACAGGCAAGAGGTGGATATAAAGAATAGCCTTATCTGTTATGTAAAATATTAAACATTGATTTTTCATCCTTTAACGTATTTATATTTCTATGATTAGAATATTAATATTTTTGATTTACAGAAAAAACAATTTGAAAATTGAGTTCTCAAAATTTTTCTTCTAAGAAAATATTTTGGAGATAATGAGCATAGACTTTGACATGCTTCCACCACCAAAGAACCTGAGTGACCTTAGCTAAACTACTTGTATAAGTCTCACCTTTATATTTACTAAAAATGGACATAATTGAAACTGTACAGATGACAATTAAATGAAATAATATATATAATTGCGCAGGATCTGGTATATAGTAGGTACTCAAAAATATTAGCTGTTTTCAGAAATTGCATTGAGATGGTGTCTTGTCATCACAAGCAAACATCCCTCAACATTCCTGCAAAAAAGTATGAACTATACCCTCTTCTAAGCACTGGGATTGAGTAAAGAACAAAACAAATGTCCTTGTCCTCAAAGAGTTATAGTTTGGTGATAAAATACATGTTAATAAAATTGTCAGTTATAAAATTTGTCAATTAGATTGGCTTTGCAAAACCAAATTAGTAATTCTTCCCAGCCAAAGAACACTTATTTATTCTCATTGATAATTAGCAATGCTGTTTTCAGACTTTCATATTTGTCTTTAAAAGATATCTTTGAAATACTTTCATCCCTAGAATTTTGCTAGTATTAAAAACAAACAAAGTCATTAATGGTTTGTTTGGTCAATTCTGACTCCTGCTTTTGTTGTTGTTATGTGCCTTGGAGTTGGCCCCGACTCATAGCAACCCCTCCTTGAGTTTCCGAGGCAATATCACTACGGAAGCAGATCACCCAACCTTCCTTCCGAGGAGTGGCTGGTAGGTTTGAACCGCTAGCCTTCTGGTTAGCAGTCAATTGCCTTAGGCACTATGTTACCAGAGCTCCCTTCTGACTCCTAGTGACCCTAAAGGACTGAGTTGAACTGCCCCCATAGAGTTTTCAGGCTGTAAATCTTTATGGAAGAAGACTGACACATCTTTCCCTCACAGAGTGGCTGGTGGATTCAAACTGCTGACTTTCAGGTTGGCAACTGAATGTTAACCACTCTACCATCAGGGCTCCTTTTTTTTTTTTTTTTTTTTTTTTTTGCAGGTGTATACCTCTGATAATATAATAAAGTGTTAAAGGGTTTATAGCTAAAAAGGAACTTTGCAATTTATTCAGTTACCTTATTTTTCAGGTGAACTGCTAAAGCCAAGTATTTAAGTATCTTGAGCAAAGCCATACAGACAACATACCTAATACAGAGTTAATTTTGATAGGGGGGAAATGTACCCTTTGTATCCTATAAGCCATATAACTGGTGAAAAACTTACTGATTTGCATGACTGCTATTTTTGCCAACAGTTAGATTCCAATGGGGAGCTGCTCATCCGAAACGCCCAGCTGAAACACGCAGGAAGATACACGTGCACTGCTCAGACGATTGTGGACAATTCTTCTGCATCAGCTGATCTTGTTGTGCGAGGTAAGAATTACAACATTTTAAAATCACAAAACCAAAGGTATTTGACTTGCATAAATATGTATAATCTTCTGGTGACTCTGGCTCAAATTCTTATGTATTTAGAGTCTTGATTCTTGAAAAGAGCTTATCACCCATGCCCCATAATGATTTATGCCAGACAAGTAATAAATAACACTGATTTTGTTTGTTTTACTAACTACATACCTCCTAGAAACTTACACCGCATACCTCCTACCGAATGCTTGCACTTTTATACTTGGTGCTTACCAGAAGTTCTTGTTTCATCCTAATTCTTTCAGTGTGTGGAGCGGAGTGCTGTTTCCATTTTTTACTTTTGCAGTACTGATATTATTTAGTATAACCTCAAATGTTATATAGTTATCACTACTATCTTAGCATAAAAATTTAGTTTATATATGTATCATGTTTCTATTTGTTGTTGATTTTCAGACTAGTGCTTTTGTTCATTTAATAAATATAATTGAGAGTGTGCTGGGATGCACACTTACTGAAAATACTGAAAATGTCCCCTTTAACACCTGCCTTTTTTATTCTGTGAGGCATGGCTGGGAACATACTTGTTTAAAATACTTGTTTAAAATCGCTTATTTAAAATCATTAATCCACTCTTCACTCACTTCCTGCAGAATGAAGTCCAGGTTCTTTAGCTTTGCACTCAGGAAGTGCTGTGCATTGATCTCAGACTGACTAAGCTTTTATTTCTCACCATTCTTCCCAACCAACTCCACTGTTCACTTACCTAGTATTTCTACTTCAGGTCCTTCGTATACATCATTACTTCCATGCCCCATTCTTATCTTTCCTTCTCCAAATCTTATCCATTTTTTAAGGTTTGGCTCAAGTGTTACCAAATTTATGAATCTTTCCTGGTGTGCCAAATACGATCTCCTCTCTTCTAACACTTACTATTTTCTCTAATGTGGACACATGAGTTATTTCCTCTACTAAACTATTAATTCACATATTCATTTTTTAATTTAGTTAATTGATGAGCTCCTTTGCATAGTTTCATAGCTCTCTCTTTTTCTCTCTCTGTATCACTGTTGTGCTAAATTTCTACCTACTAGAAATGTTTATTGATCATTTGTTTATTGCAAATTTTGTAGTTAGTTTTTGCACAAACCAAATAATGAGTAAACAAAATTATATGTGCAAAAGATTTTTCTTAATGCCCCTTCCAGAATGGGATCAATATAATTTCATATGTCTACCACAGATCCCCAAACAACCCTTGGGAAAATACTGAAAGTTCTTTTATTCCAATTGAATACATTCTCTAATAGATTAATAAATAGTCTGCTGAAGTTTGTTTTTCCAAATGAACTGAAACATCTCATCCACAGACTACTTACTGAAAATGAATTCACCTCTGAGTTTACAAATTGTAAATTAAAGAAAGTTTCATTTAGGTTTAATATTTCCAATCAAAGTATTTGGTTATGTGGGACATCCTTTGTCTTTGAGAGTTATCAGGGTGAGAAACTAGTTCACCGCTCTTTCTAGTCAGACTATTAACTATTAAGTGATTCTAAGCAATAACCTATGTATAGGTTTGATTGAAATTGTTTACAAACTAAAAGAATTAGCATTAATATTATAGTAGGGATTATATTACATTGCATGCACAATAATGTCTTCATACAATTACATTGTATTAAACTCCCAGTGTTGAGGGGGAAGAGGAAGTTTTACAAACTTAAGGCAAGAGCATTAGTGATATACCCACACATGCTTGGGTAATTAATAATCACTTAAGTGAGCATTTTTGGTAAAAATAAAGCCAATAAAAAGAAATTGTAGCAGGTATTTCTGTGGAAATAAAAGAAGCTTTTATTTGTTCATTAGCTTGTTTGTTTCTCTAAAGCCTTTTAGTTGCAGAAAAATGCTTTAAAACAATGGAACCTGGCAAATGCACTCAGTTGAAATATAGCAGAGCATTGTCAATCCCTGTCTTATACAAGCATGTTAATAAACCACTGAGCCACCGGTGTGGTGCCCTGTATCTACTATACAGGTAGATGGAAAGTACTGCTTAACACTGTTAACATCTGGAGTCATAATCAACCTCAATAAGTTATTTCCAATAATATAAAAGACATTCATCTTTATGGGAATTCTTGAGTGGTGCAAATGGTTAACAAGCTCAGCTGCTAACTGAAATGTTGGTGAGGGTTCAAGAGTCTTGACAGAAAGGCCTGGCAATCTACTTACCAAAAAATCAGCCATTGAAAATCCTGTGGAGCACAGTTCCCCTCTGACAGAACTAGGGTCACCATGATTCAGAGTTGGCTCAACAGCACCTGGTTTACTGGCCATTTTGTATCAAGAGAAAATCACAATATAGTCAAATATATTTCAACATACTTTGTGCAATGTAATACCTTGTGTCAAAAATGTATATAAAGTAGAGCTTCAAATATGCTTTATATTTTAAAATCCACGGATATAAAATGGAACGGATTTTTTTATTTGTATAATAATGGTGAATAGTATGAAAGAAGGACATGTCTAGCCTTAAACAATATTATTTTTACTCTAGTTATCCACCTTGTTCTATTTTTACATCTAGTCCAGGAAATCATGGACAGGCTTTACGGGGTCCATGAACCTTGTGAAATTGTATGCAAAATTTCATATGTATGTATATTTTCCTGGAAAGAGGATTTATTATTTTCAATAGATTTGCTCTGCTAGCAATGGCCCAAAATGTATTAAAAACCTAATCTATCTGCTGTTTTCCCCCACCTAGATCAGACTCTTTGAAGAAAGAAACTAAGGGATGATTATTCACTTCATGCCACAGTATATATATAAAAAATTCATCTAGTGAGGTCTAATAGCATGTTTAGAATGTGAATTACTTCAGAAAAATTCAATTTAAACATAACACTTCAAAAATACATCTGTTTCTCAAAGTGTATTAAGGATGTTCTATATCAGATATTGCTATTCATAATGTTTTTCCTGGCCAATTCTTTGAGAAGTGGATGGCCTCTTCCTTCTTCCTAGTCTGTCTCAGTCTGTAAACTGGGCTGATACCTGTGCACCATGTGCATCCATTTATTGGCTTTATTTTTACCAAAAATGCTCACTTAAGTGATTATTAATTACCCAAGCATGTGTGGGTATATCACTAATACTCTTGCCTTAAGTTTGTAAAACTTCCTCTTCCCCCTCAACACTGGGAGTTTAATACAATGTAATTGTATGAAGACATTATTGTGCATGCAATGTAATATAATCCCTACTAGGTTAGAAACACCAGTTGCTCAGCCTAAAAACTCACATCAACACATCACCACAGTAGGACAAACCGACAGACAAGTCTGCCTCCCTGTTGGAAACCTCTTGTACCCAACCTATAATTGATGAGCAGCATCACAATAAATGGAGAGAAGATTGAGGTTGTCAAAGAATTCACGTTGCTTGGTTCTACAATCGATGCCAATGGAAGCAGCAGTCCGGACATTAGACAACATGTAGCATTGGGAAAGTCAACCCCGAAGGAACTCTTTCAAGTGCTGAGGAGCAAGGATGTCTCCTTGAGGACTAAGGTGTGCCTGACAGAAGCCATGATATTTCCAATTGCCTCATATGCATGTGAGAGCTGGACAATGAATAAGGAAGACCGAAAAAGAGTTGATGCTTTTGAGTTGTGGTGCTGGCGAAGAATGCTGAAAGTACCATGGACTGCTAAAAGAACTAACAGATCTGTCCTGGAGGAAATGCACCCTAAATGCTCGTTGGAAGTGAGAATGGCCAGACTTGATCTCACCTATTTTGGTCATGTTGTCAGAAGGGACCATTACTTGGAGAAGGATGTCAGGCTTGGTAGGGTGGAGGGTCGACAAAAGAGGGGGAGACCTTCAATGAGATGGATTGACACAGTGGCTGCGATGAAGGGCTCAAGCATAGCAAGGATCGTGGAGCTGGTGTGGGATCGGGCAGTGTTTCGTTCTGCTGTGCATGGGGTTGCTATGAGTCAGAAACAACTCAACGGCACCTAAAAACAACAACAACAACAACAACATATCAGATATTCTGCAAGAACTTTCCAAATTTGAAACTTGACTAATTTATATTCAGGTATCAATGATCTGAGCCACAGAGGCTGAGATTAGTGCTTTAAGAAGTACAGTGAATAGAGTAGAAGGAAAGATGTGTCCTCTGAAATATTTTTTATAATAAAAGTAATGTAGCACATACACTATTACATGTATCAGAAAGCTGAAACAAAAGTAGAAATATCCAGGCATAATTAAAAGCCTGTGTATTTAGTTTAGCTATGGGAGCTCTGGTGGCATAGTGCCTAAGGTACTTGACTGCTAACCAGAAGGCTGGCGGTTCAAACCCACCAGCCACTCCTCGGAAGGAAGGTTGGGCGATCTACTTCTGTAGTGATACTGCCTCGGCAACCCAAGGCGGGGTCGCTATGAGTCGGGTCCGACTCAACGGCACATAACAACAACAACAACATGGTACTTGGGATTCTTAGTAAAAACTGTTGCTGTTTTTATTGCATGTGTGTGTATACATTTGTAATTGCTGGTGGATGAGCCTGGATGTACGTGCAAAACTTGATGGAAGTAATTTGTATGAGAGAAACAACTGTATTGTAGGCCTGTGTCTTTCATCATGTTTTTAAAAATTGAGTTTAGAATGAAGAGTGGATCATTGAAGCTGAATACTTCTAAATATAACACTGAAATTAAATATAGTGAAACAGAGCCAAAGCAAAATATAAGGTTGGACATGATTTCGTGGAAACTTTTACTCAAAGAAAACTCACACTTTTTTTTTTTTTCTATTTAATATGTGGTATGATTGGGAAATAAGAAATACAATAGCAATTGCCACCAACCAAAAACATTCTCTAGAACATGGCCCTAATAATCAGATGTAAGCCACTGTCTGTTTGTAGCTGTTGTAAGCTAGTAAAATGCTACTGTACATTAGTTCTCCCATCCACTAACTGGGTC